CCAGTCTGAGTAACACACCTTTTAAAATTTGCTTTACCCGTGATGGATTTGAGTGGTGAATTGATAAGTGTGCTTCCCCATCCATGGCTTTTTCAGCCTATTTTTCGTGTAACCCTGAGATAACTAAAGAAACCAGTGCGTCTTTAAATTAGACTGTGGTAAATTTTTTACAGCAAGCTTTTTTTTGAAGCTTGTAAGACTCACACAAAATTTTTTAAATTGATGAAAATTTCAGCTCAAAAAATTTGATAAGATCTCAGAGTCGGACTTTAGTTGGACCATTGGATTATGCAGTAGCGGTCTGTTTGGCACCTGCTTTTGGCGAGTCGAAATTCAAATTCTGCGCAATCTCAATGTGCTTGTTCTCAATGCATCAAGGTTATTCTTACGCATTGATGTTTTTAAAATCAATTTTCGGGAAAGCTTTGGCATATCAGCTGCTTCATTTTAATCCTACAAAACTTTATGTTGTTCCGTGAATAAAAGAGCCAGAAATGTTTCTGAGATTTTGAAGCTTCGGATAATTTTCTGGATTTAGACTTCACAACCGATTCCGTTTGACCGTGATCTAAAGTAAAATATATTTCCTGTTAAAGTAAATTTAAAGTAGCCTTTTCCCTTTCCCCCTGCTTCTCCTCTCCTTTTCGTTCCACTCCTCTTTCACATCCCTCATCTGCTTTCTGGCTCACGCTCCTTCACTTTGCCAAACCCGTGGCGATAATGAACATTAGGCTGACAAAAAATTAATCTTCTGAGGGCAACTTGCAAGTATCGACATACTACTGAAAGGAGAGTGATCTATTTGCAAGTAGCCATTTAGTATTTATGCAACAGCAACTCTTTCCAACATTTTGTTCATTCGCAAATATCGTTTTAATAATCGAAAAAATTGAATACTGTTTGCAGGGATGTTTCTCGTCCGGATGAGATAGCGAAGCGTTTGAAACGTGTTCGTAAAGTGTACAGGCTGCCGCAACATTATGACATATCGACCCTGGTAACGTCATCCTACGACTGGGCAATAACAATTGAGGTAAGTCGTCGAGTGGACAAACGAGGAGCTGGGAACCGTGCTCGAAGACCGCTACACCGATGTGAAACCGTGTGATGCGTGGGCTACTCCATATTCAGTTTTAGTTACCCATACTTGGTTTTGTTGACTTCAGTGCTTTGTTGATTTAAGTGTTCTTGTCAGGCCAAACTATTAACTGTATCGGTGGAAGGCAATCAAGACAGAATATTGCAAAAATTGAATGCCCAGAAACGAAAATCTTTAATTGACTGTCCTTACGCCTTTTTAAAATATGGGTGCTGCTGTTCCGTATCTTCTGGATGTATCTTCTAGAAATAGCGCTAACTTGGCATCCATTCACGTATTTCTTTGAAATGTAAGACATAGGACGTTACAGATGCTAACGCTTGACATTTCCGTGGCTGTCCTAAAAATTCCCAGTACAGAACCCGTTCAGATATCCTTTCCGTCTTCTGAAGGCAGTTATTTAATATTTTCCCTATAAGGTTTTGTGTTAGTATTTTGCGGGAATTGAACAGCAT